ATATATATATTCTAGCCATCTGTAGAATAATTAGCATTAGCAGTATTAGCATTAGCTCAAGTATAATCGCCTGTAGAAATATTAGCATTAGCAAAAGTAGCAGGATTATTAGCAGTACTAGTATTAGCATTATATATATTCTAGCTATCTGTAGAATAATTAGCATTAGCTGTATTAGCATTAGCTAAAGTATTATCTCCTGTAGAAATAACATTAGCAGTATTAGCATAAGCAAAAGTATAATCGCCTGTAGAAATATTAGCATTAGCAAAAGTAGCAGTAATATTAGCAGTAGTAGTATTAGCATTATATATATTTTAGCTATCTGTAGAATAATTAGCATTAGCAGTATTAGCATTATAGCTGGAATTTCAAAAATATTTAGTAGTATTTGTAAAGTTCTGTATTTTCATTGAGAGATATTTTTGTAAAGTTAAATATTTGGTAACTATCTGCAGTTGATGCAGATTGCAGGTTTTAATTTGAACTTGTGCAGAAATCGGTGCTGGTTTTTCTCAGGAGGATGGGTTCAGGGTCGGACCAGAACCTTTGTTGAGCCTCGTAGCTCCTGCTGCCTGGAACACGATGATGTGTGAAAGCTTCATTTCCACACACGCTCTGGAACAAGCAGAGGGTCACTCATATTTCCCTGGCAGGAGGCTCGTACGCTCGTGTTTACATTTCTATTTGTCCTTACACCCGGGTTTCCATGGCAACCCGGTTCTTATTTTGTCCCGTTCTGTGGGTGTTTTATCAGACATCAGCGCCGTTTGTAACGCGCAGTAATAAAACCGAGGCTCTGAAACAAAAAGAAAACAAGCTGCGGCAGTTTGTGTTCAGATGATCCGTTGGCGGTTCTGGTAGGCCCGAGACGACCCGGGTCCAGAGAAGACGTCTGGATCTGTGTTCAGCCCACGACCAGAAGGCTTTTTACAGTTAAACATCCAGGATGAGGTTTACATTTTAACTAAATAAAACAAACAAGATGCTGGACACTTTATTCATAACGTTCCAGCTGCAGCTTTTAGTTTTTCAGCTCTTTATACTTATTGACATATTCAGCTTTTTCACCTGTTTTTGTTCCCATTTTAAATGAATGGATCTCTATTTCACATCTTTAAAATCTTTTTTATAATTTTTTATAAACTTTTACTGCATTTCTCATCTTTTGTTCAGGTTTGTTTTTTTACGTTTGTGCCAATTTCAGCTTCCTTAACTGCTTTTTCTTCTAAGTTTAGCTTTTTTTTTCTCTTTTCAGTGATTTGTGCTTCAGTCAGCTTCTGTCTTCTAGTTTAAGCTCTGTTTTTTTTCAGCTGTTTGCTGCATTTTAAACTTTGTAGTTATTTCAGCTAATTTTACCTTTTTTTTCCACCTAAATTCACTTTTTTGTGATAATTTCAGCTTCTCAGTGCTCAATTCAGCTGACAAACTTTCTGCTGCTTTGTGCTAGATTCAGCTTTTTTGGGTGTTTTAAAACAAATTGCAAAAATTTTTGCTCTTTTTTTATCCCAAAAAAAAACTTTCACCTTTTTTTAAGCATTTCATTTTTTTCATAGTTACAATAACCTGATGAATTAAATTAAAAATAACATTTTAAAATGTTTGATTCTGATATAAAAGGGTTAAACGTAAACTGAAAGAAAAACCAGTGAAGACAGACTGAGGTTTAATATCTTATTAAAACATTTCTTCATCTCTAACATGTTTAAAACATTTTTATGAAGCTAAATTGGGGTTTCTAATTTCTGGCCCTGTTTTGGCGTTGGAGGTTGGGCCTCTGACGGTGGGTGTGACATCATGACTGACAGCTCAACTCAGGCTGGACAAAATGTTCCCAGTTCAGTGTCTTTAACGCGTCATCGATATTTTGTTTGTGATTTGCTGAATAAAACAACTGGAAATATTTAATGTAGACCTGTCGGCCATGATGCCACACCCACTGTCATCTGAGGCTCCGCCCCCATGCTAAAACAGGGCCAGATATTAGAAACTAATTTAAAAAAAATAGAATCTGACAAGTAGTCAACTTTTTTTCACTTTAAAATCTTTATTTTTGTTTAAATTTTTTTCTGAACAAACTTTATGGCTCAGATGTAGCTCCATGCGATTAGTTTGTATTGTTGTGTCGATGAGTTTTAATTTGAAATAACCGCAGTGTTGCAACAGAAAACAAAAAGATGCAAAGTAAACATAAACCTGAAACTTTCCCACAGGAGGGTTCTCGAAAGTGTTGCTGAAAGACGTTCTTAGAAAAAAATAAACACATTTTATCTTTTCTTAGTAACAGAACCTGAAACCAGGATGAAATCAGATCAGTCAGCGCAGTTTTTACTGTTCACTTTATAAAACTGATAAAACTCAGTGTTGCTATTAAAACAGTCTAGATTAATGTGTTTTTAGTGGTGAAAGTAAAATATTAACAAGGCATTAATTTTTTTAATGCAGGACATTAATTTACAGGAGAAAACTGGTTCTGGTTTCACATTAAAACCACAGGAAGGAAGGAGAGTTTTGTCATCAGACAGTTCTTTTAGAAACACTTCTCAAAAAGTTTTCTTCTTCTAAAGTCCGTCTAGAGAACAAGACGAGCTTAAACTTTAAGTTGTATTTTTATTAGACAAACATCTAAACAAATAACACGTTCTTTAGCTTTGTTCTCTACAGTTTGTGTAATAAAATTAAAAAAAGTTGAGCTCAGTATCTGTAAAATGTGTCGGGTGTGGCGGCCATCTTGAATCAAGCCACCTCCTTGTATGATTTGATTTCTAATTGTTGAGTTGAAATCTTTTCAGCGGTTCATCAGAAATGCCTCCGGTCCAGGAATTCCCGACAAGTTGTTTGTGTGTTTCTGACCCTGCAGCTCTGCTTACGACCGGGACAACAAGCTGCGCGTGGCCATCAAAAAGATCAGCCCCTTCGAGCACCAGACCTACTGCCAACGCACCCTGAGAGAGATCAAGATCCTCATGCGCTTCAAGCACGAGAACATCATCGGCATCAACGACATCATCCGGGCGCCCACCATCGACCAGATGAAGGACGTGTATCCTCCCATTGGTTTTGTTCTGAACAGACCAGCTGTGTATTACATCATGACCACCTGTCGGTTTGTGTTGGTCTGGACCAGAACCAGAACTGGTCCACGGTCGGTCCCAGTTTTTATTTTTAGGTTCGTTTCTGCTCCAACATCGAATCTTTATACAAACTAGGGTTGGGCAATGTTTGCAAAAAAATTAATCACGATTAATTGGGATATTTAGCCGATAACGATTAATTTGACGATTACTCCCGTGGAGTCCCTGGAGACTTACGTCCTGGTCACATGACCAATTTATTAGGAAATATTTGCTCTTTGTAAAAATCTGTTCCAAAATGTGTCAAAATTACAGACTTCAGGCTGTACATCTAATTTAAAATTGTGTTGATAGATAAATAAATTACAGAACTTTTTTAAAATATTCGTCATATTTGAAGCGGAGAGGAGCACCGACGGGACTGACGGGGAAATCTCCAGTCAGTCTGCCTCGTGTCATTAATCGTATTAATCATCAAGTGCCAAAAAATAATCGATTAACGTTTTTCTGACAATTAATTACATGATACGATTATACCCAACCCTAAACTCACCTCCTCCAAACACTAGAAACACTCAGAGCTGAGTACTAGTTCACATCCAGTACTACTGTAACAGGAGAGTACTACTGTAACAGGAGAGTACTACTGTAACAGAGTACTACTGTAACAGAGTACTACTGTAACAGAGTACTACTGTAACAGAGTACTACTGTAACAGAGTACTACTGTAATAGGAGAGTACTACTGTAATATGAAAGTACTACTTTAAAAGGAGAGTACTACTTTAAAAGGAGAGTACTACTTTAAAAGGAGAGTACTACTTTAAAAGGAGAGTACTACTTTAAAAGGAGAGTACTATAATAGAGTACTACTGTAATAGAGTACTACTATAATAGAGTACTACTTTAAAAGGAGAGTACTACTTTAAAAGGAGAGTACTACTGTAATAGGAGAGTACTACTGTAATAGGAGAGTACTACTGTAATAGGAGAGTACTCCTTTAATATGAAAGTACTCCTTTAATATGAAAGTACTCCTTTAAAAGGAGAGTACTCCTTTAAAAAGAGTACTTCTTTAAAAGGAAAGCACTGTAAAGGGAGAGTACTACTGTAATGGGAGAGTACTCCTTTAATATGAAAGTACTCCTTTAATATGAAAGTACTCCTTTAATATGAAAGTACTCCTTTAAAATGAGAGTACTCCTTTAAAAGGAGTACTCCTTTAAAAAGAGTACGCCTTTAAAAGGAAAGTACTGTAAAAGGAGAGAGTTGTACTGTAAGAGGGAGTACTCCTTTAAAAAGAGTACTACTGTAAAAGTAGAGTACTCCTTTAAAAAGAGTACTACTGTAAAAGTAGAGTACTCCTTTAAAAAGAGTACTACTGTAAAAGTAGAGTACTCCTTTAAAAACCATCCAGCTGGCTGCAGCAGGATGGTGGAATAAGTCAGTATTGAAGCATTAGCCTAGCATTAGCTACTGTATTTCTGGTTTCTACTCGTTCATCAGCTCTTGAAGCAGTTTAAATGACCTTCAGTGACCCTGCTGGGACTTTATCATCACCAGAAGGTCTGACTGAGTCGAATCAAACAGGAGTTAAAGACTTTAACTCTCAGCGCTGCAGATATATCGTCCAGGATCTCATGGAGACCGACCTGTACAAGCTCCTGAAGACTCAACACCTGAGCAACGACCACATCTGCTACTTCCTGTACCAGATCCTGCGAGGGCTGAAGTACATCCACTCTGCCAACGTCCTGCACCGGGACCTGAAGCCCTCCAACCTTCTGCTGAACACCACCTGTGATCTGAAGGTGACGTCTGACCTTCAGCTCACCTGCTGGACTCTTTCTTTAACAGTTCGAGTTCCTCTGACGTCTCTTCTTCTGTTCGTTTGTCCCTCAGATCTGTGACTTCGGTCTGGCCCGTGTGGCCGACCCCGACCACGACCACACCGGGTTCCTGACGGAGTACGTGGCCACGCGCTGGTACCGAGCTCCAGAGATCATGCTCAACTCCAAGGTGAGCACCTGAACCTGCTGGGACCAGGTTCTGTTCAGAGACACAGTGGAGACAGAGACAGGGACAAAAAGGTTCTCCTTGGATCTGATCAGGAATGAGATCATCAGAGGGACAGGTTGAAGGACTGGAGACAGTTAGAGAAACCAGACTCGGAGGGTTTGGACGTGTCCAGAGGAGGGACAGTATTTATTTGGACGTGTCCAGCGGAGGGACAGTATTTATTTGGACGTGTCCAGCAGAGGGACAGTATTTATT